GTAAGAAGAATAAAATGAATTCATGTCAATTAGTAAATGAACAAATCAAGGTAATAATAATGGTGGTGGTAATATTAATAGTAATAATAATGGCGATAGTACTAATAGTAATATTGATTAGTAAAAAATTTTTTTCTAAAAATTAGAGTTGTAAATTATAAAAAAAAAAATGAAATAATTTGCATAATTATAAAGTGAATGAAATGAAAAAATAATAACAGTACTAATAATAATATCACTACTGGTGCTGGTTAGTAATCACTGCACTGAAATACCTGTTAAGATTATCATGAGACCTTCACTGTACCCCATGATAATCTTGACAGGTATTTCCAACGTCCTTCACGCTCGCTTCTATATGATGGTTCGTCCTACCCACAACCCACAACTCGTCGATGGCCCGTTATATCCTGCATAACCATGTCTTCGATTTTATTTGAGTGCGAGCTTGTTGTGAATGTTGTTTTCTCTCCAAATTTTGTTTGTTATCTTGTTTTTTCGTGTTACTTTTATTTTCTTTCTTACTGTCAACTATAATCAAAACTGTTATTACCATTACCATTGTCATCACGTCCTTTCTATTACATTGTCGCTGTTATCATTGCAGACTTTCACTATCGCATACTTTTATTATGCATCCCTTTTGCGATCGTTATTTAGTACAGTGGATTAAAAAGAGGTCCCAATGCACTGATCAATTTCTAGTATTTAGGAATGTAAAGGGTCTTGGAACAGGAGTGATTATCTCACGCTAAGATGAAAACGCCAAAGCTGAAATGGTTTCACATAAGCAGTTATTATATTCGAATGCTATGCACTTATAAACCAAGGGCACCAAAAGGTTAACTCTTTTGGTTCCATATCATTTCAAAAGGAACCATCGTTTACATACTGGTTAAGGGACTTCCTCACCGAATTGATTTTATGTCTGGCGTAGCGGTCGACAAATTAAGTCACAAGTTCTTTGGCGCTTACTATCATTTGGGCTGTCTCGGCAGAACAAGGACCACATTTAATAAAACGATCTAATATCACAAATGCACTGCAGCGAATCATCGAAGAAAGACTGCATGTATTTCCAGAAATGAATGTCGAACACAACTTACTCAGTTTTATGGAAAATTGCCTATTAAAAATCTTTTTCTATAGTAAGATGAAAGTCCCTCATTAGCCATTAAACGAGTTATATTTATTACTCTATTTATTATACAAAAGTTGTGCTGATATAGCTGAAGTAAGACTCACTTTATATTCAGTATCGAATAAGGCAATGAATTTGAATGTGGATTCGAAGTTCATACGTAATATTGGCATTATTGCGCATATTGATGCAGGCAAGACAACGGTTACGGAGCGCTTATTATATCTTGCTGGTGCAACAAAGTTTTTGGGAAATGTTGATTCTGGTCCTCTGTCATTTTGCTAAATTTAGTTCAAGTTATTATGCATATAAAACATAACTGGAATCCGGAAGCTGAGGTCAAAAGGGTGATTTCAGGAAATACTGTGACGGATTTTATGGAGTTGGAACGTGAACGAGGTATTACAATACAGTCTGCAGCAGTAACACTGTTTTGGAAAAAACATAGAATCAATTTAATTGATACTCCTGGGCATGTCGACTTCACTTTAGAAGTATGGAAACACTGGATGGAATTTAATTCTCAATGTAGTATTCTGTCTATATTCGTCCTTGTTACAAGTACTGCTGTAAAATACTGATGAGAAGTTACAAATTAAAATTACCCGTTTATTTGTATAGAGCAGTTTAGAAAACATAAAATTATGAAAAATTTGTGGGATGATATTTTAGTCTCAGTTTTAAATCATTTTTTCATTCCATTGTTGAGCTGTTTGTTTATTACAGGTTGAAAGATGTCTTCGGGTGTTAGATGGTGCTATAACTGTCTTGGATGTATCAGCCGGTGTACAGGCACAAACTATAGCTGTGTGGCGACAAGCGGAAAAATTTTCTGTCCCATCGGTTTTTTCTTAAATAAAATGGATAAACAAGATGCGAATTTTTGTAAATCTGTTGATTCTATAACGGAAAGATTGGGACTAAAAAATCCTGTCAAAGTATGCCTTTTTAATTGCGTATTGCCTGTAATCCTAAAGGAGATAAAGGACATACTTTTTTCCAAATTCTTTACGTCCTTTACATACAGCTGATTTTTTTTTAGGTTTGTATACCCATTGCACATAAAGACAAGCACTTCGTAGCCGTTGTGGATGTGATCAATAAGCGTTACTTGAATCTTGATTTAAATGATGAGTCGCTATGGATCGATTTAAAAGAGGACTATTCCCAGTGAGTTGCTTCTGTTGGTAGAATTTGTAGTAATATATATAGGAAATTGTCTTTCTGTTAAATCATTTCTCGGTGATACAGATTTATTTGAGATGTAATATTGTTCTTGTACAATATTACTAGTTAACAACAAGAAAAAGGGTATGAAATATATGTATATATATATATACATATATATATATATATATATAT